CCATAGGGTCCTTATGAGTCTGAGCTGACTTGCTGGTCCCTAGCTGACTTGCTGGTCCATAACAAGAGTATTTTGAAATACTGTTGACATACCTTCCAGTATCACAGTAACATGCAAGCCACCACAGAACAACAAGCTGAGAGATGGGTGGAGGCTGGTGCCACATGGTTGTTGTTAGTTCTTGTTGAGTTAGTTCCAACTCATAGCAACCCTATGTAAAACAGAATGAAACACTGGTCCTCAAGTGTTGCTACCTTGAGCCCATGTTTGCAGCCACTTTGTCAGTCCATCTCATTGAGAGTCACCCTCTTTTTTTGATGTTCCTTACTTTTCCAAGCATGATGCTCTTCTCTAAGGATTGGTCCCTCCTGATAGCATGTCCAAAGTATGTGAAATAATTACTCCAGTCCTCACTTATAAGGAGCATTCTGGCTGCACTTATTCCAAGACAGATTTGCTTGTTCTTCTGGCTGTCGATGGTATCTTCATTATTCACCACCAAGACCATAATTCAAATATATCAGTTCTTCTGTGATCTTCTGTATCTGCACATATTGTCCAACTTTTGCATGCATAAAAGGCAATTGAAAAACGTATGGCTGGGGTCAGGCACATCTTAGTCTTAAAAGTGACACCTTTGCTTTTTAACACTTTATCTACTTGTTAACCTTTTATTGTACATCTGGTGAAGGTTTACAGAGCAGATCATGAGTTTAACATTCAACAATGCATACACACTTTGTTTCATTTCATTGCAATCTTCTCAAGGTAAATACCACTTACCTCACTTCCTCCCAGTGTTTCCTGTTTCCTAACCCTTTTGAACTCTGTCTTTGGGTCAATGCTGCCCTTTTGATCGCACATGGTTATTTATTCTAAGGTGTTCCTACCTCCCTGGTGTCACTGCTACCCTCATAGACCTGCGTAGTGTTTGGCTGAAAATTGATCCTTGGGAGTAAGTTCTCTTTCAGGCCTGAAGGGTGGCTAAGGGCCATAGTCTCAAGGATTTTATCAGTCTATCCGACCAGTAAGCCTGGTCTCTTTTTTTCGATGTTGGGCTTTGTTTTACAACCCCCGCCTCCCGCACTCCCAGATACTCTAAGCAGGACCTTTGAACATGGGCCCTTTCAGGGCAGTTAGTAATGGTAGCGGGGCACATCTAGTTCTTCTGTCTCAGGACCGTGGAGACAGATGTTCACATGGTCCATTAATCAATTGGGCTAATTGGTTCTATGTGTCTTAGATTTTCATCATTCTTCTTGGCTCCAAAACACCACCTACTATGGCTGAACCTGGAGGACATTTTGCTGAGTTAACTTAATCAATCACAAAAGGACAAATACTGTGTGAGAGCACTATTGTAAAAAACAGAAACAAGGTTTGTACATTAAAAGAAACATTCTTTTTGATGATTATAAGGGGTGGGACAGGAGGCATAAGTCGCAGGATAGAGGGTAGACACATCTTAACTTGGGTGAAGAGGAAGGCACTGTATAGTAAGAGGGACATTAGCAAAAGAATGACAGAGCAAGGGAAACCCCTGGGAGAAGCGAAAGAGTTGAAGGTGACAGAGGTCAACACTGTTAGATACACAAGCCTGCAATAATGGCGATAAACAAGTAGATGCATAGATACATAGATAGACATGAAGCTAACCAGGTGTAGGAGAGATAGTTGGACTATATCTATATCTTTTTTTTTTTTTCAGAAAGATTATTTGTGCATGGGCCTTTACCTTGGCGGCAAAGCTATCCACGAATGTAGTGGCGCATACAGGGGGCAAAGCTAGGAAACCTTTTTGAAAAATCCTTTTTCAAACTCTTCATTTTGCATTAGGTTGTGCATCTCCAACCATCATTTGTGAAAGCTCTTTGCACACAATCAAACCCGTTGAGGGAATGGGCTTCTGGGTCTGGGGGCTCGGGACCATAGTCTCAGAGGATACTGAGGGCAATTGGCATTACTCAGTCCACCAAGACCACGTTCTACTTCCTAAGTTAGTGAGCAGTGACTGGAGTCTTAAAGGCTCACAAGTGGACCTCTCAAGTGCTTTTTAACATTTTAAAATGCACCTTTGGCCGCAGATTTGCATGGGAAACTATGTTATTTGATGCTTAACTGTTGCTTCCTTGGGCATTGATTGTGATCTACGTAAAAGGAAATGCTTGACAACCTCACTCTTTTCTCTGGCTATCATGATGCTGCTTACTGGTCTGGTTAGGAGGATTCTTGTTTTCTATAAAACAAAAGGTGTAGTTCATACTGAAGGCTGTAGTCTTTGATCTGCATCAGTAAATGCTTCAAGGCCTCTTTGCTTTCAGCAGGTGAGGTTGCATCATCTGTATATCACAGGCTGTTAATAAATCTTCTTTTAATCGTGATACTGCATTCTTCATATAGTCCAGTTTCTTGGATTATTTGTTTAGCCTACACATTGTATAAGTATGATGAAAACACACACACACTTTTCCTGATTTTAAACCATGCAGTATCCCCTTTTTCTGTCAAAGAATGACTGCCTCTTGGTCTCACATGAGCACAAAGAAGTGTTCTGGAATTCCCATTCTTTGAGATGTTTTATATATTTTGTTATGATCCACTCAATTGAATGCCTTTGTGCAAACATTTCTCTTGTATTTTCTGCTTAACACCAAGATTCATCTCATCTTGGAATGAGAACCTCCCAACAAGCTGGTCAAGGAGTCTTGTCCTCGTATTAGAGATGAGGAAACTGCAAGGTTTAAAATCAGGCAAGGCGTGCATCACAGTTGCGTCCTTTCGTCATACTTAGTCAATCTGTAGGCTGAGCAAATAATTCAAGAAATTGGACTATGGGAAGCAAGCACTATCAGGTTTAGAAGAAGACTCATTAACCACCTGTGCCAGGCAGAGTGTAGCTTGTAGTTTTATCAAAGAGAAAATAAACACGGCATCACACAACAACAACAGAAAGTCAGATGTGCACTATTATAAAGGATAATTTATGACATAGATGTGTACACTGTCTGAAGGAACGTGGAAACCACAGGTAATGGGAGCTACATAGAAGTCAAAAGCCTCCTAAAGGCAGAAGCAGCTATGCCTACATTTGGAAACTCAGTTATTTTCTATGGCACTATGGCATAATTTTTCGGCCCTGGATTCCATGCAAGCTAGACCAGTTACATTTTCCACAACAGTGTATTGTGCCACAAACCAGTCTGACCTGCAAGGGAAGAGTCCAAGGTCTTAGACTTTTGCAATGTTCTGCTACCTAACCAGTTTGCAAAAACAACACGTGACCAAGTCAAGCTAGAGCTATCCTAGTGAAGGGAGGGTGGCGGTTGTATGAGGCCTGGCTTAAGGTCCTCTCTGGGCCTACTTAGAGCTCCAAATGCAGTGATCATCGATAATGACATTTCGTTCTATCTCATTGGTTTCCTGTCAGAGAGCTATGGGACGAGGAATTCAAGTTTAGGTATGAAGTGAAGGAAGACATAGACACAACTACTAATTGATTACCCAAGTCAGGAGGAGCTGCCTAGCAGAATAAGCAATGTTGTGTGGTGATGGCTTAGGAGCAACTAGCTCACGTGAAGGACCCTGGAAGGTTTATTGGAGGAAGTAGCATTTCCCTTGAGACTCGAAGGATAGGTAGGTAGTCCACAGATAGAAAAGGGTAAACGGAAGTTATGTTCGAGCAAAATCATCAGAGACCTGAGCCCAAGAATGTACTGGTAGTCCATTGCTGGGTAGGGCTGTTGTTCGTGTCCTTGTGCTCCCATGTACAATGAAACAGTCCCACACCCTCCCCATGATCTGTTATGCATCTAATGGATTTTTCCTGGCTTATTTTCCAAAGCATATTGCCAGGCCTTTCTTCCTAGTCCATCTTCCTCTGGAAGCTCTGCTGAAACCTGCTCAGCAAATGTACAAACCTCCATCGACTGGCGGGTGGTTGCTGATATGAGGTGGATAGGACCACGGGGATGGTTATTTGAGTCTTATTCTGGTAGGAGGAACCCTGGTGGAGTAGTACTTCCCTGTTGGCCCGCTAATGGAAAAGTCAGCAATTGGAAACCTCCCCCATTAGCTCCACCGGAGAAAGACAGGGCTCTGTACTCCTGTCAAGAGTTACAGCCCCAGAAACTCATGAGGCAGTGCTACTCTGTCCGAATAGGGATCCCTATGAGTCAAATTTGATTTGAAGGCAACAAGTTTGGGGGGTTGGGGTTTTCCTGGTAGAGAATGGTTCTGTGGATGCTACAATAGACTCTTCCTTTCCGCACCTCATGGCCAATTCGAAAATTCGATCTATAGCGAATCTCCAAGGGACCCTGTAAAGTGACTTAGAGAGCTGGTGGAGCTAATCCCAGGTCTGTCTTCCACAAAGGACCAGTTTATTGAGTAGCATCAAGGACAGGGTTATGGAGACAAAAGAAGGGTTTGGGCTCCATTCAGTAGACACTGCGGAGACAATAAACGGGCTTAAGCAGTGGCACTAAAAGGGTCACATACATATTTTAGCTAGATCCCCCCGACTGCTCTCTGGGAGATGATTTTAGGCAAAGGCAAGAGCTGGATGAAGTCCAGTCAAGGGGCGCCTGCAACAGTCACAGCCCAAGGTCATAGAGCCAAAATCGGCTGGGGGACAGAGGACAGAATGAAGCCCAAGTCTCCAGGCTCGAATCAATTCCCCTGGGGGTCCTCATGGGATGTGTGTTTGCAAGTGAGAGCCTAAGGGAGTGAGACTGGGATAGGGCGGAGTCAAGGGTGACTGCCTAGCCCAGCACACAGAGAGGGGCCTTTCTAGGGAAGAGGAGCAGGAAGCAAAGGTCTGAAGATCGACAAGCACCGAGTTGGTAAGACAGAGAAAAGAGGCCCACTCCCACCCTTACTTACCCCGAGCCCAGAGGCCAGGTGGCCACCACGAGGCCCCGCCCTCGTCGAGGCTCCACCCCTTCCTCCTCTTCCCACCGCCGCTCACCTCGCGGGCTGCGAACGTCGGCGGTCCAGTCCTCCGGTATCCCAGCAGGCAGTGCAGCCGGCGACGTCGACAAAGGACCAGAGCCGCGTTCGCAGCTGTTTTCCGAGGAGCTGGTGTGCTAAGGTGGGAGTCCCCGGCCGTCCGGTCACCCACTTCCTCAGGTCTGGGGCAGATATGGGGGAAGTTAGGTGGCCGGGAGCCCCGGGGCCCGGACGGCCGGGTCCCTGCCCCGGCTGGGGAGCGCTGACAGCGGCTCCCGGCGCGGCAGCAGAGGGCGCCGGCCGAGGGCTCTGGGTGGCCGGTGGGTGGCGGCGGGTGGGCGCCGTTGCCGCTGCAGCTGCCGCGCCGGGGAGCTGCCGGCTCAGAGGGCACTGGCCCCGGCTCCGGGCCCTGCGGGCGGCAGCGCGACGGAGTTTGGTTGCCCCGGGATCCAGCTCCAGGGACAACTCCTTGGGCGGACCTTGTGAGCAGGGCTTGGGGAGGGAGGCTGCCTGGCTGTTTGGGGTGACACCGCCCTCGCCCTATCGCCTCTGCCCTCCGGCCCGACCGGACCCCCCCCCCCCCCCCCCGGGAGCCACTGGAAGGCGCTCCGCGAGGCGGGAGCGAGAACCCGGGACGTCCCGGCAGGGGCTATGCGCTCCGCTGAAAGGGAGAGGGCAGTGGGGTGAAGAGGTAGGGGGCGGGTGGACACCTTGCGTGGTGCTGAGGATGGCAGTCCGGGGCTGTCAGGGGCCGTGTGGCCTGGATCCTCGCGGAGCCCTAGAGCTCCGCGCGGATCGTGGTGGTTGCACCAGTTGTCTGCTGTAAACAGGCTCACATGACTGGTTTCTCATGGAGCCGGCTGGTGTGGGGCAGAGGGCTGGAAGGCTGGGCCCTAACCCGGTGGAGTTGGAGTCCTGCTTCATCTCTCTTCTGCCGGTTCACCTGTCACTGATGTCAAAGACCTGACATGGGCCCTTTCTGGACTGAAGTAGCATTTCTATTTTCTATCCCAGCAGAATCTGAGGAACTTCTGGGGTAGGAGGGGGGGAGGGGGGCAAGAGGGCAAGTCATATTGAGTTATAAGTTGCAAATGATCCCAGATCTTTGATCACTGGGAGAAATAAGAGGCAGGAGGCAAACCCGAACATAGAGGTCTGTTGGCTCTTGCTCCCAAAAGGAATCCTGCCCTTTTAGACTTCATGGCGACTTTTTTTTACTAATGTGAGTTCCAGATTGAGGGGAAAAGTCGACTTTTCCTGGCAGGGCACACACATAGGATTTCATACATACTCGGTGATAACAATCGTGTCCATATTTCCCCTAAGTGCTGGGGAATCGCTGTCAAATATTAGATACAAGTTATTGAGCAAGGAGGGAGTGGGTGCTCACTTTTCAGTCGTGTGTGTATTTGGTAGAAGGCAGTGGGCAATGTGGAGTATGGGACATGGCCAGCTGTTGCTCTCTTCCTACCCCATACCCAGGCAGGAGGAAAGGTGGAGTAGGTGATCAGTGTTGCTCCGAATCCTCTTTTGCCACCTGATAGCTAGTGGCTGAGTGGATTATGCCCTGGATGGGCTGCTAACTGCAAGGTCAGCAGTTCGAAACCACCAGCCACTCAAAGAGAAAGGTGAGGCTTTTTATTCCATTAAAAGAGTTACAGCCTCAGAAACCCACAGGGGCAGTGCTACCCTGTCCTGTAGGATCACTATGAGTCAGAATAAACTCGATGGCAGTGTTTGCTTTGGGAGAACCTCACCCTACTGTAAGAGCATTAAGTGATTTATGCTTTGAGGCCCTCAGTCTCCTCATCTATAATAAAGAGATTTTGTTTCAGCCTCTAAGGCCTCTTGTAGCTCTCAAATTCCATAAAACAATACCATGAAATCTCAAATGTCTATATAGCTTCCTGTTTTATATAAGTTTGATCATGCAGGATTCGGCCTTTGGGGACTGACTGATTTCATTCAAGCTTCATGTTTCATGGTCTGTCTGAGTTAGTGGTGGGCTGGGACTTGGTTTTCCTGGAGGGCTGAGTGGTGGTGGTGAGTGTTCGCCATGATCTGCTGTGGATCCAGTCCTCTGCCCGTGGGTCTGTGGATCCAGCCCTCTGCCGGTGGGTCTGTGGATCCAGCCCTCTGCCGGTGGATCTGTGGATCCAGCCCTCTGCTGGGTGGGTCTGTGGATCCAGTCCTCTGCTGGTGGGTCTGTGGATCCAGTCCTCTGCTGGTGGGTCTGTGGATCTAGCCCTCTTCCAGGCGGGTCTGTGGATCCAGTCCTCTGCTGCTGGGTCTGTGGATCCAGCCCTCTGCTGATTGGGTCTGTGGATCCAGCCCTCTGCCGGTGTGTCTGTGGATCCAGTCCTCTGCCGCTGGGTCTGTGGATCCAGCCCTCTGCTGAGTGGGTCTGTGGATCCAGTCCTCTGCCGGTGGGTCTGTGGATCCAGCCCTCTGCTGTGTGGGTCTGTGGATCCAGCCCTCTGCTGAGTGGGTCTGTGGATCCAGCCCTCTGCTGAGTG